TCTTCTTTCCACTGGTGTTGTATTCCTAGAGATTAGAATCCTCAGTTAGGATTTGAATAATTGAGATTGGTGATATAGCCAGTTCTATGGGCTGTGCAGCCAAAACATGTAAAGCCAAATCAAACCAAATTAAAACCAAGCACAAAAAAAGCCAATGCTTGATTTTATTAATAGAAATTCACTAAAAAATTGAAAATTTTAGCCAAAGAATTTGCTTAGCCCTATAGTATTTTTTTTTTAACTGAGCAATGTGAAGAAATCCAATCAGTCCAAGTTACCAGCCTGTCCTCAATGTGGGGCAGTTAAATTGTCTTTCTCAGCAATGTTTTCTTTTGGATTTATTTATTCTGAATTCAAAACAGATAATAACTTGGGCACATACACAGACAAATAGATAAAAAATAAAATAAAATAAAAACGAATTAAATCCAGGTTGCCTGGCAATGGATGGAATTATTAGCTTCTGTTCCCATCTGGCATATATATTTATTCATTCTTTAATTAAATCATACAAAATATGAATGAATCACAGTATGAAGTTTTTATTATTTTCTTTATTATGCTTTAGGTGAAATTTTACAGAGCAAATTAGTTTCTCATTAAACAATTAATACACAAACTGTTTTGTGACATTGGTTACCAACCTGCAATATGTCAACACTCTCCCCTTCTCAACCCTGGGTTCCTCATTTCCATTCGTCCAGTTTTCCTGTTCCTGCCTTCTCGTCTTTGCTTTTTGGCTGCTGTGTCCATTTAGTCTCATATACATGGTTGAACTATGAAGCACATTCCGCACATGTGTTATTGTTTCTTTTATAAGCTTGTCTAATCTTTGGCTAAAGGGTGAACTTCAGGAGTGACTTCAGTACTGAGTTAAAAGGATAGCTGGAGGCCATGCTCAAGGAGTTTCTCCAGTCTCTGTCAGACCAGTAAGACTGGTCTTTTTTGTGAGTTTAAACTTTGTTCTACATTTTTCTCCTCCTCTGTCTGGGACTCTCTATTGTGATCCCTGTCAGAGAAGTCTGTGGTGGTAGCCGGGCACCATCTAGTTGTGCTGGACTCAGTCTGGTAGAGGTTTTGGTAGCTGTGGTCCATTAGTCTTTGAGCTAATCTTTCCCTTATGTCTTTGGTTTTCTTCATTCTTCTTTGCTCCAGATGAGGTGGGACCAATAGATGTATCTTTGATGGCTGTTCACAAGCTTTTAAGACCCCAGATGCTACTCACCAAAATAGGATGTAGAACACTTTCTTCATAAGCTGTGTTATGCCAATTGAACTAGATGTCCCCTGACACCATGGCCCCCAGCCCTCAGCCCAGTAACTCGGTCCCTCAGGGAGTTTGGATGTGTCTATAAAGCTTCTATGACTTTGCCTTGGTAAAGTTGTGCTGACTTCTCCAGTATTGTGAATTGTCTTACCCTTCACCAAAGTTACCACTTATCTATTACCTGGTTAGATTTTTACTGTCCCCACCCCTCCCCTCCCTAGTAACCATCAAAGATTCTTTGTGTAAACCTTTTCGTGAGTTTTTATAATGGTGGTCTCATACAGCATTCGTCCTTTTGTGATTGACTTATTTCACTCAGCATAATGCCCTCCAATTTAATCCACGTGGTGAGAAGTTTCCCATATTCATCATAAAAAATTCATTAATTCTAGTTACCTATTTATTTGGTTGGCGCCCTGGTGGCGCAGTGGTTAAGAGCTCAGGCTGCTAACCAAAAAGTCAGCAGTTTGAATCGACCAGCTGCTTCTTGGAAACCCTACGGAACAGTTCTACTCTGTTTTAAGTGTCACTGTGAGTTGGAATTGACTTGACAGCAATGGGTTTGGTTTGGTTTTTGGTATGAGGTTCATACAATCGGCTGTGAACAGTTGCCCACTTTCTACTTCTGCAGATTGGGAAGGACAGGAGTTATGTAATTGGAAGCCAGGCATGAAGATAGATTAGTCACTAGATAGAGGCTGACTGAGTGGCTGAATCGCCACTTGGACCAGAGCTGCTCGCTTGTCAGGAGCACCTAGTCTGGTCTTTAAGTGATCCTGACATGGTGGTCACCGTATGCTTTTAGCCAGCTAGTACGAGAAAGAGATGGGCTCAGTAAATAATTGGCTGGTTAGCACAGAGAAATAAAAATCAGTAGAAAGAAATTCCAGAAATTTGGTGTTTCTTGCATTTCTCAGAGTTAGAATGGGAATCATTTATTCTAAGCAGTATGAGCTGAGACTTAAAGAGGCTTCGATGACAAAGGCCCCTTAAGATTCAGCCCTGCAGTCAGTATCTTGCCAGGCTTATTATCTGTGATGATCTCAAGTCACTGACTTAACTTGTGAAAAATAGAGACATAAGGCAGTGTAAATATGCAAAGAAATAACTCACATTTGATAGATATATCTAAGAAAGAAGTTTGGGTCTGGCTATTTAGTACATGGAACTGAGTGGAATCAAGCAGATCAGGATGATTCTAATCTTTTTAGGGATTTGTATTTCTAAAGATATCACAAACCCAAATTAAAAAAAAAAAAAAGACAAGTCAAGCTGTAAAAATATCCTTAATCTCTAAATCAGCCAAATTGGGGCTATGAAAGATATACCCACAAGGCACCACCTCAGATACAGCCATGGAGGATAGAGGACAAGGAAGAACCCCTCAGAGTTAGGTACCAGGAGCCTCTGAACCAATGATCTAGGAACTCATGGAGGCAGTTGGTACTGGAGTAGTTCATCGAAAAGGAGGAAAGAGTAGGCAGAGAATTTTTACGTGTGAGGCATTGGAGCTCTGAGGACATAGGCAACAATCTCAATCTAGTCTCTTCCCCTTGGTTCTTTCTGTCTTCTTTTAAGTACCACTCTTCCACTTTTATCTCCACTAAAGGAACTTCCATTTTTTTCTTCTTCTTTCAAAGGCCATGGAATCTTTTCACAATGTCACCTCCTATGTACAACATTCTATTTACCGACGGCTTGTATCATACCAGCAATTGTGAAGGTGACTCAGGACTGGACAACGTTTACTTCTGTTGTGGATGGGGTTTCCACGAGTCAGAGCTGTCTGCACAGCAGTGAACAACGACAACAAGGCGAATTGTGAAATTCTATGCAACCACGCAAAGTTATGTTCTTGACATATAAAGGAAAGTTTTGAGAATTTAGAAACTCTTGTTTTGTCATACACCTATGCACACACAGTGGCGTAGTGGTTAAGAGCTATGGCTGCTAACCAAAAGGTCAGCAGTTTGAATCGACCAGGCACTCCTTGGAAACTCTATTGGGCAGTTCTACTCGGTCCTATAGGGTCACTATGAGTCAGAATCAACTCGATGGCAGGGGGTTTGGTTGGTTTGGGTTATACACACACTCCTACAAACACACAAAATGCTGACTCTTAAAACATTTTCCCCAACTATCAAAGTGGTTAAGCATTTGGTGCTAACCAAAAGGTTGGCAGTTTGAATCTGCCAGCCGCTCCCTGGAAACCCTATGGGGCAGTTCTACTCTGTCCTATAGGGTCACTATGAGTTGAAATGGACTCGACAGCAACGGCTTTGGTTTTTTTGTGTGAGCTTCCAGATTATCTTTTGGTAGTTAAGCATTGAACACTGACTATTTTGTTGCACTCCTGAATGCCTTTGTTCAATAGGATTACAGGCACATTCAAGAATATGCGTAAGACAAAAGATAATTATATTGTTAAAAATATTATTCTTATGACAATGCTAATATGTGGAGTGTTTCCAAGAAATACTAATTGAATGGAAATAATTACACATCATTTAGTCAGTACAGGAATATAAAGTAGAAAATCTAATTCTAATTTGAAGTAGTTTTCCTTTGTGGTAAGTTTACAGGCAGCACTGAGGATCGTGGGCTGGTACTTGGGATTCTGTAGGATTAAATTCAAATTCTAAATTTCTATCTGCTAGCTCTTCAGACAGTCAGAGAGCAAGAATCTTATACTTTTTGATTCTCTGTTTCCTCATTTCTAAAATGCTCATAATAATACTTAATTACAGTGTGTTTGTAGTTAATAAATGAGAAAATATGCTTCTTTCCTTTCGCATCGCTGCGCGCTTAGTACGAGAGAAGTTAGCATGTTCCAACCTGTTTCGCGGTTCCAAAAAATGGAATTAGAAACAGAATATTCTAACTGTAATATTTTAATCTTTTAAATCACTTGGTATATGCAGTTGTGTGTATATATATGTAAACCTAAAACCCATTGCTGTTGAGTCAGTTCCGACTCATAGCGACCCTACAGGACAGAGTAGAACTGCCCCATAGGGTTTCCAAGGCTGTAAATCTTTATGGAAGCAGACTGTCACATCTTTCTTCCATGGAGAGGCTGGTGGGTTCAAACCACTGACCTTTTGGTTAGCAGCTGAGTGTTTAACCATTGAGTCACCAGGGCTCCTTTATATATATGTGTATGTATACACACACACACACATATATACATATTAAAAAAAAAAAAACACCAAAAAAACCCAAACCCATTGCCGTTGAGTCCATTCTGACTCATAGTGACCCTATAGGACACAGTAGAACTACCCCATAGGGTTTCCAGGGAGCGGCTGGTGGATTGAAGCTGCCAACCTTTGGTTAGCAGCCATAGCTCTTAACCACTGCATCACCAGGGCTCCCATATATACATATAGAGAGAGAGAGGGAGAGAGAGAGAAAGCCTTAACCATTTGTACTACCCCAAAGCTCCTATATACGTACATACGTATATACGTATATTTATAATCATCTTAAGTAGCTTTTTATTTTTTGAGAACAGAGCTGGTGTGCTATTTACGTTTGTTTGTTCCTGCTCCCAACCTCAGTTTCTAGTACAGAGCCTTGAATTTAGTTCGTATTCAGTAAATGATATCATATGGAAGTTACTGTCAAACTTTAATAAACTTAGAGTTTTCTGTCTTAGTTTTTGAAAATAACATGACATACGTCTATTTTTTTTTTAATAGTGCAAAGCAGTTTGAATTTCGGAATGCCGTACCTGAACCAAGTTCATAAGGGTGTCTCTGAAGTGTCCTGAGGTCTCTGAGTAAATGTCTCCTTGAAGGTCACTGCCGTATTCTGGGAAATAAAATGTCCATTTTAAAGGATGAGTTAGTATAGAATCACATACCAATGAGCTTTGAATAAGTTGATACTAGTTCCTGGGCTGTGAAAGGAAAGCTTAGGAAATAGAGTCTATATGTTGCCATTTCTTTGTCTTTTGCTACCTTCTGTCAAATATAGCAATAAACAGTCACCAGTGAGACCTGATACCTACTAGTAACATAGGCAGAGGTCTTAAAAATATTATCTACTTTTTTCCAAAATTGAAAACCAGCATTGAGAGGCATTTCATATTCTTTAATTCTCTAAATTAAGAATCATGCATTTCGTTTCCCATAGACTGCTGCCCAGACCACAGCCCTTCCAAATGCTTTGTCTCATTTTAATATTAGCAGGGAAGGCTCTTACTTCATCCCCCTTGGGTGAATCTTGTTTTTGTTCAAGTGCAATAGAGCTGTCTGGAACATTTTCTTGACATTCAATTTTACGTAATACATAATGCAATGGAACTTAAGGCATTAAACTTTTTTGAAATGAAAATAGTCAAGATAGTCTACTTTTCAAAAGTGCAAAAAGATGATTCTGAGGCAGACTACAGGGACTATGAAATTCATGTAAAGTGAATTTATATTTAAATTCTATATCTATGTTTTAAAAAAATTCACTGAGCAATTGTTCTGCTTTGCTTTATTTTGTCTAGATATTTGGTCTCTCCTGGGTAAGAGATAATATGCCCCCTCAGCCAACGTGCTGGACCCTTACCTGTCTTAATGAAAATATCCACCTCTTAGACACTGGTCATTTTTCCTGGAAAATTTGGTTAATTTGATAGTCTAGGGAATTGTTTTCTTTTTAGTAGACTAATCATCAATTTTACTTAATGAGTTCATTGGTCTTGAGGAAATCATATTTAAAATATGAAAGTGCTCCATAAAAAATCCTTATAATACACACACTGGAATATTTTTGTGTGTTACTTGGAAATATAAAGTTTATATGTGTGTAAATTCCCTTACGCAAACAGTAGGCGTCTCGCATCTGGAAAATTTCTCCATTTGTTCTTGAAGCTAATATATCAATGAGACAATTCTCATCAGTGCCTACTCCCTAGAAAGACAGAGAAAGAAAAATGTAAAGGTGTTTCTATTGAGAACAAGAGTCATCTTCTGTACAATAAAGGGAAACGGCATTTTTGGTATTCCGAGAGGTTGTGCGTTTGGGATTGAGAGAGACTCAGTTTGAATTCTGCCTCTACTATTTACTCCCTGTTTGACCCTGAACACATTATACTATCCATTACTCTGTTCCTTTAATTCAAATAAGCACTATGGGAATTTATAAATAATGTGGAGAAAGACATGTTTACACATTGGTCATGACATTGAACATTTCTATTTTGCTGCTGGACTAGGACTTCTTTGGCAAGCTGAAATTTAGAACATAAGCCTCCTCAGATGTCTCAGGAACCTGCCCTTTCCTCTCCCGAGATGAAAATTTTGTACGTCTTTCCTAAACGTTTGGAATGAGTGCTTTCTATGCTCACTTACAGCCATATGCATATATTTGTCTCTGATAAGGGTTTTAAAGATAACACCTTTACTAGGAAAGCTTCAGAAATCCTTAGCATTCTAAGAAATATTGATAAATTATGTCAGTTTCATTTAAACAGCAACAAGTAACTTCATTCTTATAATTTTTAGTCACATGCTTTTGCAAGAGGTAAACATTGACGTATACAACTTTTTTTTTAAGCAATTAGTAGAAACTCACAGGAATTTTGTACAATGTCTATGCTGAGCAGCGAATAGGATGGCCACAACCCAGGTTGCCTTAATTTTTTTTCTTTCTAGACTGTGCTTTCTCACACACTGTTGGCAGACTGTGGTACTCTGGTCACTGGCAGGCATTACCCTGGAATAATTTCAACCATTCTGCAGGTGTTTAACATCAGAATTTGGGAAGAAGGAGAAGGGAAAGACCCTCTTTCTCCCCGTCCCTTGACAACAAAATCTGTAACAAATCTGCAGTCAGTTTATTTCCCAGAAATGACAATTCTGTAAGAAAGAACAATTCTAAGCCTTCAAAAGTAAAACTCTGATACATTGGAGCAATAGATTTTCTAAAGGACTAACTTAAGGTCATAAAAATAAACAAAGAGGGAATCTCTATTTTGTCTCTGATTCAGGGTTCTGTTTTTACTTTATGAGCCAAATGTTTACAAATAGTTTGAAGAGATTCACCTGATTTATAACTTTCCCCTTAATATTACCAATAAATATTGAGAAGAGGCCACCTGAATGACTATGTCTTCTTGCCTTTTGGTAGCTTAGCAAGTAGCTAGCTCAGTATATCTGAGTTTGTACCACAGATGAGCAGACTCATGACAGATCCTGGGCTCTGGAGGCTCCTCCCTCTGTCTTTCTAACACAGCCACCTCTCCTGACCACAGTGTGTTCACTGTAAAATTGTTGCTCAGATATCTCATCCCCCTCTCCCAATTCTGTAAGTCTGTGGAGACTCACAGAGCAGGTCTCCTGTACTGAATTATCTGTCTGAGTCTGTTACAGGTGTGTGTTTAGGTGAGGGCACTACCTTCATGGCATGCCAGAGTTCATGAGCATCGTAAGATGGTGGTGGGTACATAAGGCCAACCATAACATCTTTGAAATGATCTGAAAGTGTCTCCTTCAGGTCACCAATCAGGTCCTATGGGTGGAAAAGTAAAACATTTTATTAAATCAGTTACCACATTTACAAGAGAAATGGGATAGTTGCAGAAAATCCTCCAGTAACAGTTCTTTTCCCTACCGTTTCACACAGTAACAAGTCTGGTTTCAAGTCATGTGCATGTAAGTGGATCTCCCCAGATTATAGACTTCATGGAGCCATGGTGGCCCAGTGGTTAAGAGCTCAGCTACGAACCAAATGTCAGCAGTTCGAATCCACCAGCCGCTCCTTGGAAATCCTATGGGGCAGTTCTACTCTGTCCTAGAGGATCACTATGAGTCGGAATTGACTCGACGGCAACAAGTTTGTTTTCTTTTTGGTTTTATAGATTTCATAGTTTGAAAATGACTGACTTAATGATAGTCTTTTCTTAATCCTTATCCCCAACCCTTCTTATGATTTCATTATGAAAATGAATAAAGTTGAAACCTAAGTACATTCTCTCTTGTGCAAAATTAGTAAACATTATTTCTTTAAAAAAGTATTTTATTTTATCACTGTAACAGTCTCTTAACTGAAAATCTCTGTTTGTATTACCGTAAAGAACATACTTAAATGGATTTAGTTAAGTAATCTTAGAACTTTCTTCAAATAGCACATTAATATACTTATTTAAAATATTGAAAGTTAAACATGAAAGAAAAAGACAAGCATACCGGATTTTTTTCTTAAAATACAGTACAAAGACATAAAACTGATGATTTTAATTTTTTTACTTTTAATTTTTTTCTAGTACAGGGTACAATTAAAAAAATACATAGAAATTATTTTCTGTAGAATTACAAACATATCTTTAAATATAAAGATAATAAAAATAAACACAAAAATAAAGATGTTTAAGATATATTAAAGAAACTTAAAAAATTTACAATATCTTGCTAAAATATATACAGATTTTTCAGAATGACATTTAAAAATATGCAATATTTTAGTTTTAGTTTTAAGGTGGTTCAATGACGGAATTCAAGTATAAGATGCAAGGTGCCATAAGCACTGTTAGCACAAAAACAAAGTAATCTTAATTTTTTTTAGTATAAAAGCATTCATTATTAGGTGATAATTAATAAAAGAGAGGCTATTGAATATGTGCTTGGGTCAATGCAGTTCACTTAATGAGCAATTGCTAAGTGTCCAGAGTTGTCCCAGGTACTTGGAGTATACATAAGAAGCATATAATTTCCCCCTTTCATGGAGCTTGTATTCTATTTAATTCCCTCATTATTCACCATTGTATATTCTGAGTTCCTTAACAATAAGTTGTAAGGTTCTTTTATGAGCCAAGCACTCTTGTAGGTGCTGGGGCTACAGCAATGAATAAAACAGATATAAACATATGATCTTGTGGAGCTTGTATTCTCACCTACACAGAAGAAGTGCGATAAATATCTGTTGAGTGAAAGATTGCTGTTATTCAACAGTTACTTATTGAATGCAACGGTAAGGGTGGAGAAAGATAACACAGAGTCTCTGTTTTCAAAGAGACTCACCTTCCATATACCCAGAGACTACATAAGTAATGTTAGCTAGTATATTTTCTAAGTCTTTTAATATAATTTTTCCACATTAAAAGATCCTAAAGGTAGTACATTTGAATGATGGTGTTGGCAAACAATACTGAATATACCATGGACTGCCAGAAGAACAAACAAATCTGTCTTGGAAGAAGTACAGCCAGAATGCTCCTTAGAAACAAGGATGGCAAGACTTCATCTTGCTTACTTTGGACATGTCATCAGGAGGGACCAGTCCCTGGAGAAGGATATCTTGCTTGGTAAAGTAGAAAACCAAAAACCAAACCCATTGGTGTACAGTTGATTCCAACTCATAGCGACCCTATAGAGGGTCCGAAAAAGAGTAAGACCCTCAACGAGATGGATTGACAGAGTGGCTGCAAGAACGTTCAAACATAGATTCTGTCAAGCCTCTCCTGACCTCTGGCTAACTTGACGTCTAAAAGATGATCTTGATCTGATTTTTTGGGTTTCAAACTTACGTCCTCTTGTGTGTCTTGACAATCTTCCTCCAAACTTCAACTTTGACCTTAGGATCGTTCTCTTCTAGATTTGGAAGTAGAGGGCGTGGCATGCTATCTATGCTGTTCTGATGGGGCTTTCTTTGATTTATCAGTCTTGCTACTTCACCTTCTCCCATGATGAAATCTTGCTAGCTCACTTTCTCCATGACCACCTACAGCTTCTTCCCAACAGTGCGCATCTTGTACCATTGGAGTGGGGCATGGTTGAAAAATTTCCTTCAGTATGGCTTGTGATGTGCCCATTTGTGAATCTGAGGAAAATTATTAAGCACCCAACTTATGTTGAAATAGATATAGCTGAAACAAAATAATAATTACTGGATAAAGCCTCCTGTTCCAGCATTTCCAAAAATAAAATGTAAAACATTTTTGAAATATATTGTTACTAAGCTAGGATGTAAAAAAAAAAAAAAAAAAATTGAGAACGTAGCTTAAATAAAAAATAACTAGATTCCTGAAGAGGCCATCCATAAAAGGTACTGAATTCTCTTAAGATCCATTTGCCAACTACTAAATCACAACAGGGATATAAATTAACTCATTAATGCATTTTGATACTGACAACATGCCTGGAGAAACAGATTAACAATAGGAGTTAAGATCAATTAAAACTATCCCTTTTGGTGAGTAGCGTCTGGGGTCTTAAAAGCCTGTGAGCGGCCATCTAAGATACTCCACTGGTCTCACCCCTTCGGGAGCAAG